GACTAAGGGTACTGAGCCTGCGAGTGCTGAGACCGAGGGTCCTGCCTCTGGGGGTGCTGCGAGTTCGGGTGCTGACTCTAGGGGTGCTGCGAGTCCTTCTGGTGTTGGTGTCGTCGAAGCTCCTACCGGAGGACCTGGAGCTACTGGTGCTGGAGGTACTGGAGGTGCTGCTGGTGCTGGAGGTCCTGGAGGTGCTGCTGGTGCTGGAGGTCCTGGAGGTGCTGGAGGTACTGGAGGTGCTGTTGGTGCTGGAGGTCGGGGAGCTGCAGGTGCTGCTGGTCCTGGTGGAGCTGCTGGTGCTGGAGGTACTGGAGGTGCTGCTGGTGCTGGAGGTCGTGGAGCTGCTGGTGCTGGAGGTACTAGAGGTACTACTGGTGCTGGAGGTCGTGGAGCTGCTGGAGCTGCTGGTGCTGGAGGCGCTGGAGCTGCTGGGGCTGGAGGTGCTGGAGGTGCTGGAGGTCCTGGTGGAGCTACTGGTGCTCTTCGCCACCTTCTCAGTCTTCAGCCAGGTGCTATTGGCTTCCTTGTGGCAGGTACTACTCCTCCGTTGCTGTGTCCACCGGCGGACCACTCACAGCCGCCGCTGCTACCACACTCCCCACTGCCTGCTCCTGCTCCTTACCCTGCGGTGTCAGAGTCCCTGACTGAGCGTCGAGAGCCTGAGACTCGTGCTTCCACCCCTGAGCGTCGAGAGCCTGAGTCTAGCTTTGACCTTGAGCCTGAGCCTAGAGCTGCTGTCCGTGCTCGTGTTCCTCATGTTCGTCGTCAGCGTGCTCCGGCTGTCCCCGGCACTCACGATATGACACTCCGTCCTTCCTCTGTTCCTCAGCGTGTTGTCCTACCGTTACCTCCTGCGTCCTCTTTGCCCGACGTTGCTGACCCTCCGTCTGACCTTGCTCGTGCGTCCAGTCCGACTGTTACTCGCCTTCTTGCTACGGTTGTGACGGACCCTACGTTCTCGTCTCCTGCTGCGTCTGCCCTAGTAGCTGAGCTCGTTGACTTTGCTGCTGTGTACCGCCTAGACTACCTTGCGAGTCTTGTCTCTGACCCTGTCCCTGCCTGTCCTCCGTCCGTCGGGGGTGAGACTGCTCTTGGCTGCACTGCCCTTGGCTGTGACGTTCTGGAGGACAGGCAGGAAGAGCTGGAGTGCCTTGCTGCCGCTTCACCCCATCACGCGACCATGCTGCTTGCCCCTGAGGGAGACCCGGATGCACTTGACATCCCCACCCCGCGCTCCTACAGGGAGGCGATTTCGGGTGAGTACTCCTCTCAGTGGCAGACAGCCATGGACGCAGAGATGGCTTCCTGGAAGTCCACAGGCACCTACGTCGACGAGGTTCCCCCACCTGGGGCGAACATCGTCAGTGGCATGTGGATTTTCAGGGTGAAGTGGCCGCCAGGTTCTCCGCCTGCCTTCAAGGCACGTTACGTTGCTCGAGGCTTCAGTCAGCGTGAGGGGGTCGACTTCTTTCAGACCTTCTCCCCCACCCGGAAGATGACCACTCTTCGGGTGTTGCTACATGTTGCAGCTCAGCGTGACTACGAGCTGCACTCCCTCGACTTCTCGACAGCTTTCTTGCAGGGTAGCCTCCACGAGGCCATCTGGTTGCGCCGTCCACAGGGCTTCACTGGGTCGTTTCCTGAGGGTACGCAGTCGAGCCTACGGCGACCAGTGTACGGCTTGCGTCAGGTGCCCCGCGAGTGGCACGACACACTGAGGACGACACTTGCGGCTCTTGGGTTTGCTCCTTCGACTGCTGACCCGTCGCTGTTTCTACGCACCGACACTACTCTGCCGCCGTTCTACATCCTCGTGTACGTCGACGACTTGGTTTTTGCTACTGCTGACACTGAGGCACTGGCCCTAGTGAAGGCGGAGCTGCAGGAGAGACACACCTGCACTGACCTGGGTGAGCTGCGGAGCTATCTTGGCTTGCAGATCACCCGGGACAGAGCACGGCGCACCATCACCCTGACTCAGTCACACATGGTGCACCAGGTTCTACAGCGCTTCCGCTTCACGCACTCCTCGCCACAGCCCACTCCTCTGGCTACCGGCCACTCGCTCTCAGCTCCACCTTCGGACGAGTCCGTAGAGCCGAGTGGTCCGTACCCAGAGCTTGTGGGCTGCCTCATGTACCTGATGACGTGCACACGACCTGACCTCGCGTACCCTCTGAGCCTTCTGGCTCGCTACGTGGCACCCGGTAGACACCGAAAGGTGCACTTTGATGCTGCGAAGAGGGTACTGCGTTACTTGTGCAGCACATCGGGCATGGGGCTCGTGCTTGGAGGACGGGGTTCGGTGGTCCTCACAGGACACTCTGACGCTTCTTGGGCCAACGACCAGGCGACTCAGCGTTCGTCACAGGGTTACACCTTCAGTCTTGGCTCTGGTTCTGTCTCGTGGAGGTCCACTCGTTCTTCTTCTGTGCTTGGTTCCAGCTGTGAGGCCGAGATCTACGCTGGGGCCATGGCTGCACAGGAGCTCCGCTGGCTGACCTACCTGCTGACCGACTTGGGGGAGCGGCCTCGTTCTCCTCCGGTTCTGTACGTCGACAACAAGGCAATGCTTGCCCTGTGTCGCGAGCAGAGACTGGAGCACAGAACGAAGCACATTGCTCTGCGCTACTTCCTTGCGCGTGAGCTGCAGCAGCGTGGTCAGCTGCGCCTTGCTTTCGTGGCCTCTCGGGCCAACACTGCTGATGTCTTCACCAAGGCCCTTGGGGCTGGTGATCATCAGCGTTTCTGCACTGCTCTTGGGCTTTTGCCCACTCTACCTCACCTGCTGGTTGCTTGACTTGCTCTTGTTGTACACTGCTATATATATTTATACCTGCATGTTTACTCTTGCTAGGCTGTGATCAGTGTACTGCCTTGCTATTATAACTCTGCATGTGAACTGGCCTTGTGGCCGCCTGCTTGTGCTCAGATTGTGTGGTGTCCATGAGATCCACCCTGGGCTTTGTCTTGCTTGTTCTCTTGCTTGTCTTGTCTTGTGACCACTGTTAGGTTTGGCTATCCCCTACTTCACCTATGTGGGTGTGTCAAAACATATTGTTTGTTCATGTTACTTTAGGTTGTGTAGGGGTCACACCTTAGAGGGTACAACCCAACTCTCTCGACATCCTTGTACCCCTTCCCTCTTACCCAATGCACACTTGTTCCTAGCTAATTTCGACAAAAACATATCACAAAATACAGAAGGGGACCAGAAAGAAAGTAGGTGACCAAGCTACACCTGGAAGGCAGAGAATCACGTAGAAACGAGGAATAGCACATCACGTCAAGAGTTCGCCAAAGAAAACAAAAAAACATCACGTTAGCTGGAAACGGCTTACCTACCAGACGACGTGTGTTGACAAAATAGGAGGCCCGCCACAGAGAGTAGTCAGAAACACACAATGTGATGTTAGGAGAATTGCAATAATGGCGATGTAAAACGTGTCAAGTAAGTAACGCCAAGAAGCAGAACTGAACGAATGGTGTAACGCCCATCAAACAACACATTTTCAGGTAAATCGGCCATCCATAGCGTGCCACACTAAGCCCAAGGAAATCACTGGCGACAAGCTTACCTCATAGAGCTCCCAAGTATGAGCGACTAGCACGACGGTAAGCGATGCCTGCCGAGAAACATACACGGTTCGAAGAAGCAATTACGTAGCATGTGTAAAATGTTATAAGAACTCATAATTCACGCCTGCAATCGCGGGCTTTGAAACGATGCTCTTTAGGACACAGAAGGAAAACGATCTAAGATAGTTATCGTTTTCTCATAGCCTCACGCAATGACCAGGGAATTGAAGCTTAGGAGAAAGACGGATATGGTGGCGTGAATGGCGGACATGGCGGTGTGAATGGCGGACATGGCGGAGTGGAAAGAGCTCAGTGATTTAGCTAAGAATGACGGTGAAAAATTACGAGTTGGTAAGTCGGAGGGGGATAAGTAGTCTGAAGGTGCTGGGGAGAGGAGAGGCAGAAGAAGGTGCTATCGAAGAGCTGTGATTGGTTCGTGAACTTTCATGTGCCACGTAACCCAGCCCATCACTGTATCCCAACATATTGAGCAACGCGATAACAAAGCCGGAATCAGATAGAACCGCTAAATGTCATACCAACATGTTGAGAGAAGAAGTGTACAGTGTGTACCTACCTTACCAAGCTGTGTAAAAATCCCGTACGTGCAGCCTCGGAAGAAGCAAAGTAGCGACAAAGTTGGGGTAACCTCGGGGTACCCCAACGAACTGTAAACCCTCCCGATTGGTCTGAACTTAGTTACGATGGTGGAAGTTACTGTTGCTGGTTGTCGCTGACGTCGCCAGTGTTTAGAGGCAACCTGTAGGGAACTCAGTGGGAAATTGTGGGTTACCTCGTGAGGGTGACCTTGGGGTCCCCCTCGTTTTCGAAGTGATTTTTGCGCTGGGAATTTTGGGATGTTACACTTCTCAAATTACCTAAACGGCACACATCTCTCAATACCACTGCACGTTTAAAGCCCGAGTCTAGAATGGCAAGGCTTCAAGTTCAAGATTCCTGAACTAGAATTCGCCAAGGAACAAGGTAACCCGGTTTGGGTCCGCATCCATCTCTCGACCCACCGAGAGGGAATTGAAGCGCGAGGCAGTGATTGGCCAGGCACAGCACAGGCAAACCCACAACAACCCTCGCCATAAAAAACAAAAGCACACGGTACTGTTCAGACTTAAAACTTGAAAGCTTTCTTTACCACTCTAGACTCTAGACGTAGTAGGCTCCTTAGCCCGTCATTCCATGATTCGGGAACCGCGCTGAGGCTTTGTTTCTCGATCAGTCATTCTGCCTAACACTTCCAGCCCACGTCTTCAGATCTCACCCTTCGATCAGGTTAGGAGCCTCGCAATCCTCATTCACGGCTGTCATGACTTGCCTCCCAGCCCTTCCGTCGCTCTCGTCGCTCCTATAGCTCTTGTCGCTTCCATCAGTCCCGCCCCCTCAGACACTCCCCATCTATCTCTCGCATGCAGGATGCGCGGAAAGATAGCGAGAACCGTCGCCCTTGTCCCTCGTTGCTCAAGAAACTCCCGTCGCGTTTGTCCCTCCCGTCGCTCCCGTCCCTTGTCCATCCCGTCGCTCACCGCTTTCCCTTTCCGTCGCCCACGCTTGTCCATCCCGTCGCTCACCGCTTTCTCTTTCTGTGGCCCACGCTTGTTCATCCCGTCACTCACCGCTTTCCCTTTCCGTCGCCCACGCTTGTCCATCCCGTCGCTCACCGCTTTCCCTTTCCGTCGCCCACGCTTTTCCATCCCGTCGCTCACCGCTTTCTCTTCCCGTCGTTCGCCCTTTTCCTTCCGTTCCCCCTCGCTTTCCCTTCCTGTTGTTCCCGCTCCTCCCGTCGATCCCGTCGCTTTCGTCCCTCACGTCGCTCACGTTGCTCCCGTCGCTCTCTTCCCTTCGGTCCCTCCCGTCCCTCTCCGTCTCTCGCCTTCCTTCCCTCTTCGCCTCTCCCCTTTCCCTACACAGTCCTACCCTCAGCACTGTGTCCCCCCTTCCCTATGTGCAGCGTCCCCGCTTCCCTACGCACATTTCCCGCCCCCTTTCCCTACGTGCAGTTTTTTCCTTTCCCTGCGTGCAGCTCCCCCCCCATGTCCTTCCCTCTGTTGCCCTGATCCCTATGCCCCATGCCACATGCCCAATGCCCCAAGTTCACATGCCCCATGCCCCACGTCCCATGCCCCATGCTCTCTTTGCCTCTTCGCCTCTTCTATTCATCCCTCCTTCCTTCCCGTCTCTGGTCCTACCCTCCCTTCCCGCTCCTCGCTCTTCGCGCTCGTATTGTTTGCCCTGCCTGCCGCCCTCACTTTCCGTGCGTGCCGCCTTTGTTCTCCCTGCCCGTTCGGAGCACTAGTGTTCCCCCTTTCTGAACCAATCCGCTTCCCCCCTCCCTTCTCTCTCCCTCTCCCCCTTCCATATCCCATGTGCCCATCCTCAACCCGCTCTCTCACTCCCGACGCTCACTCACTCCCAACGCTCTCTCACTCCCGACACTCTCTCACTCCCGACACTCTCTCACTCCCGACGCTCTCTCACTCCCGACGCTCTCTCACTCCCTACATCCTCAATCTTTCCCCCTCTCCCCCACTGTTCCCCCTCACCCTCACCTCAGCCTTTTCCCAACTCCACTCACCCCTGCTGCCCCAAGCTGCCACGTGGCTGCTGGGGTGGTCACCTCTCCATACATCATTCGCTGCTTCCATCATTGTCACTCCCCTCTCTGCCTCTCTCGTCAAATCCCTCTAAGCACATCCCCTCCTTTCCCACTCGCCCCCTCCCTCCTTTCCCTCTCAGCCCCTCTCCATCCCCCTCTCAGCCCCTCTACCCCTTTCCCTCTCAGCCCTTCTCCCCCCCTCTTTTCTCAGCCCCTCTACCCCTTTCCCTCTCAGCCCCTCTAATCGTTTCCCTCTCAGCCCCTCTAATCGTTTCCCTCTCAGCCCCTCTTCCCCTTGTTCCTCCCTCCCTTTCCCCCTGTCCTTCCCTCCTTTTTGTCAAACTATATGTTTATTGTTAGTTAGGCTGTATTGGGGCTAGCTTTAGGGGATACAGAATTTCTCTCGACATTCTAGCCTTGTACCCCCATCTTGAACTAATCTACTCAATTCTTGCCTAGTATTCTTAACATGGTAACTAGAGCAATAGGTCCTTAGGACCTGAGATTCGGGCCCACCATTGTCTGCCCCTACAGCCTTACCTGCCTTGCCTGCTGCCCGCTCGCGCCTCGGCTGCGCGCGCCCGTTAAAATTCTTTTTTTTTTTAGCGCGCCCCACTACTGCACCTCGCGAACGGCCCGCTGTAGCTTAGTGCGTCGCGCTGCCCGCCTCAGCCGCCCGTCGCCTGCAGCCGCGCGCAGCCCGTTGCCACGCGCAGCCCGCCGCCCGCCGCTGCGTGCAGCCTGCAGCCGCGCGCAGCACGTCGCCCCGAGCAGCCCGCAGCCGCGCGCAGCTTGCAGCCCCGCGCAGCCTGTCGCTGCTGCGCTCTGCCCTGCCTGCACGCTGCCGCCTCGCCCTGCGCGCTTGCTGCCCTGCCTTGCGCCTGCCTTGTCTTGCACCTTCCTGCCTTGCACCTGCCGGCCTGCCTGCCTGCCTACTGGCCTGCCTGCCTACCTACTGGCCTGCCTGCCTGCTTGCCTTGAGTCTTGCGGCCTGCCTGCCTGCCTTGCGCCTGCCTTGCCTTGCACCTTCCTGCCTTGCACCTGCCGGCCTGCCTGCCTGCCTACTGGCCTGCCTGCCTGCCTGCTGGCCTGCCTGCCTGCCTTGCGCCTTGCATCCATTGCGCCAGCCTGACTTGTGAGCCTGATAGCTGCTGTGGTCTGCTGCCTTTGCCTACGCTGCTGTAATGGCGACGCTTAACGTTCTCGCGTTTGAGCCTGACGGTCACCCGATAGAGTTTGCCACTTGGCTTGACGACCTGCAGCTATTTCTTATGACGGATGCCAAAGACGGCGTTTCTCTGTTCGATCACGCGTCAGGCACTGCCGCTGCCCCTACTGCCACTGATCATGTTCTTGACCACTCACAGTGGCAGACTCGCGATGCTGCTGCGCGCCTCGCTATCCGTAACCACCTGCCGATCACTGAGCGCACGCATTTTAGTCAGCACAAGACTGCTAAGGCGCTATATGACGCTGTAGTTGCGCGCTATTCCTCCCCAGCCACTGCAGCCGTAGGACGCCTCATCCTGCCCTACCTGTTCCCCGACCTGTCCTCGTTTACCACCGCTGAGGACCTCATCTCTCACCTCCGCGCTAGTGACGCCCGCTTTCGTGCCGCTCTTACCGACGAGTTCCTCGCCACGAACACCCCACCGCTGTACTTTACCCTCTACATCCTCGTCACTCGCCTCCCTAACACTCTTAGCTCGGTCAGGGACCATTTCCTCGCCAAGGACCCTACCACTATCACGCTAGCCGACTTCGAGCAGCAGCTCCTAGCAGCAGAGAAGAACATCTTCGCTGTAGGTGCTGCCCGTGGCACTCCACGCACTCCCCTCTTTGAGGGGTGCTCCCCCTCCCCTCTTGCCCCCTCCTACGCCTCAGCTGCTGCTGCAGTCGACCTCCTCGGTGCTGAGAAGGTTGCAGCGGCTTCCGCTCCTAGTGGGAAGCGCGGCAGTGGCAGGGGCGGCAAGGGTGGCAGGGGTGGTGGCGGTGGCGGTGGCGGGAGCGGTGGTGGAGGCGGCGGGGGTGGTGGCGGTGGTGGGGGTGGTCGTGGGGGTGGAGGAGGTGGGTGGGGCGGTGGTGGAACCGGGAGTGGTGGAGGTGGCAGCGGAGGTAGTGGGGGAGGAGGCAGTGGTGGTGGCAGTGGAGGTGGGGGCGGGAGTGGGACCAGCCATAAGGGGAGTTCCAGTGGTGGCCAGCAGCAGCAGCAGCAGCAGCGCCAGACCCCCTCTTCTCAGCAGCTCCATGACTGGTATGCCGGGCGTGGGGCGTCTGGGGGTCCTGGTCGCTGCCCCTATGTCATTCTCACTGGTCCCCGTAAGGGTCGCCCATGCAACGGCTTTCACACTGAGTACCGCTGCTTCGCTCGGCTCAGCGACGCCTGGCGCGCCAAGTTTCCTGATGCTGCTGAATTCCTCAACTGGGCAGATCTCCTTAGGCGTGATGTACCTATCTTTGATCTTGATTATGATGTAATCCTTGCTGCCATGTATGCATTGACTGTTAGTGCTGAGGGTGACTGTTACTTGTGTGTGCCGCCTGACCCCGGTATAGACCCAGGTATAGCGCCTGCAGCCCTAGGTGCTAGTGAGTCTGCTCTCCCTGGTACTGCGTCCGTTCAGGCCTTGCACACCTTTACACTTGACTCTGGTGCTTCTCGCTGTTTCTTTCGTGACAGCACCACTGTCACTCCCCTTCGTCGTCCTGTCCCTATCTCACTGGCTGACCCTTCTGGGGGCCCAGTGCTTGCACGGTCCACCACTGTGCTTCCGTGTCCGGCGGTCCCGTCTGGTGAGCTGTCAGGTCTCCACCTCCCCTCGTTCTCTACGAACCTGGTGAGCAACGCCGTCCTTCAGGATCACTGGGTTGACACCTTTAATCCTGGAGGACAGCGTGTGGCGATCTGCACGTGCTCCCGGACAGGCCGCCACCTGGCCACGTTCACACGTGCGCCTGGGTCCAGTCTGTACACCCTCACCATTGCGTCGCGCTACACCCCTTGTCTCCCCAGCTGTACGCATCTGCTCAGGTAGCTACCCAGTGTGAGTGTCGCCGGCTGTCGCACGACACTCTCCTGTGGCACCACCGCCTTGGTCACCCCTCCCTGCCTCGCCTTCGGAGCATGCACTCTCGCTTCCTGGTCTCTGGCCTTCCCAGGTCTCTGCCTGCCCTCCCTCCCTCGCCTGCGCCACCCTGCATTCCTTGTGTCGAGGGGCGGCAGCGCGCCGCTCCTCACTCCTCCTCGTTCCCTCCCACAGAGGCTCCACTGCAGACTCTCCACCTGGACGTGTGGGGCCCAGCCCGCGTCCGTGGACAGGGCCACGAGCGGTACTTCCTGCTGGTCGTCGACGACTACACGCGTTACACCACGGTCCTCCTTGCAGCGCAAGGGGGACGTCCCTGATGTTTTGATCCCCTGGATCCGCGCTGTTCGTCTCCAGCTCCGCGAGCGGTTCCAGTCGGACTTTCCTGTCCTTCGTCTGCACTCTGACAGAGGTGGTGAGTTCTTCCCAGACCTCTTGGCAGCCTACTGTGCGGAGCACGGCATCCGCCAGACGTTCACGCTTCCGGCCTCTCCGCAGCAGAATGGGGTTGCTGAGCGCCGCATTGGCTTAGTCATGGAGGTCGCTCGTACCTCCATGATCCATGCGACTGCCCCCCATTTTCTGTGGCCGTTTGCGGTCAGGTACGCCGCACATCAGCTCAACCTCTGGCTCCGTGTCTCTGTACCGGAGACGTCGCCCACACTGCGTTGGACGGGGGAGGTTGGCGATGCGTCGCGTTTCCGCGTCTGGGGTGCCCGTGCCTTTGTTTGCGATACCACTGCGGACAAGCTCTCCCCTCGCGCCATTCCCTGCGTCTTCCTTGGCTTTGTCCCTGACGCGCCTGGCTGGCAGTTCGACGACCCAGCCGCGCGCCGTGTCTTTGCGTCTCAGGACGTCACCTTTGACGAGTCCGTCCCCTTTTACCGTCTCTTTCCCTACCGCACTGCCCCTCGCCCCCCTTCGCCGCTCTTTCTTGCTCCAGGTCCTCCCCAGGTAGACCCCCTCCCCGCACCAGGTCCTGCTCCTTCAGGTGTTTCTCAGGTAGACCCTCCCGTGCTTGCGCCTATGGAGGTCACTGGTGACTTAGGTCCTGTTGGGGGTGGTCTTGCTCGAGGTGCTGTGTCTGGGGGTGCTCAGCCTGGGGGTGCGCAGCCTGAGCCTGAGGAGCCTGGGGGTGCTGAGACTGGGGGTGCTGAGCCCGGGGGTGCGGAGCCTGCGTGTGAGGAGCCTGGGGGTGCGGAGTCTGGGGGTGCTGAGCCTGCGTGTGCGGAGCCTAGAGGTGCTGAGTCTGGGGGTGCTGAGACTGCTGCTCCGCGGTCTCCTTGGAGTACCCGTCTTCATGCGCGTGTACCTCTCACCTCACAGCAGCTGCACGACTGGTACGATCGCCGTGAGGGTCGCGTTTCTGGAGCTCGGGGCTCTGCTGCTGGAGGTACTTCTACTGCCGTTACTGGAGCTGGGAGTGGTGCTGGTCTCGGAGGTGCTCGTACTGGAGGTACTGGAGCTGCTGGGGCTGGAGGTGCTGCTGAGCCTGAGGGTACTCCTGGTGGAGACCCTGGGTCTGGGGGTGCTGCTGCTGGAGACACTGAGGCTGGTGACCCTGGGACTGGAGGTGCTGGTTCTGGGGGTGCTTCTTCTGAGGGTGCTGGAGCTGCTGAGGGTGCTGGAGCTACTGAGGGTGCTGGAGCTGCTGAGGGTGCTGGAGCTGCTGGAGGTACTGGAGCTGCTGGGGGTGCTGGAGCTGCTGAGGGTGTTGGAGCCGCTGGTGCTGGTGGCGCTGCGCAGCGACGCCTGTTCTTTGCTCCGCCTTCTCCGTCGTCTCTACCACCGCCTGCCTCCGTGTTTCGCCCGGTTCTTAGCCTCCCGTCATCTACTGGTCTTCCGTTACAGCCTGGCTCACCCCTGCCTGCTCCTTCTCCTTACACTGAGCAGTCAGGAGGTCTTGCTGAGCGTCGTGAGCCTGCGTCGCGTCCTGTCTCGCCTGTCCGTTCTGGTCGTCGTGTTCCTCGTCAGCGTCAGCGGGCTGTTACAGGCACCCACCTTGTAGTCCGTCGTCTTTCCTCTTCTTCGCCTTGTGTTCCTTTGCCGTCCCCTCCTGAGTCCTCTCTGCCTGTCGCTGCTGACCCTGAGTCTGACCAGTTTCTTACTGAGCACCCTACGGTCACACGTCTGTTAGCCACTATTGTCACTGACCCGT